GAGAGAGAGAGAGAGAGAGAGAAAGAGAGAGGGGGGTAGAGATAAAGAGAAAGAGAGAGGTGGGAGACAGAGAGACAGATTGAGACAGAGACAGATACAGAGTAAGAGACAGACAGAATGAGACAGACAGACAAACAGAGAGAAATGTCTTTGTCATTGCAACCGTTGACTATATCAAGAGCTACTTACTTTTGCCGGAGATGACGATCTTCTGATCTTTGGCGTAGAAGTCGTCTCCAGGTTCCTCCCAGGAGTTGTCTCTGAGCGTCTGCTCCAGCACTGTGTCAGGGAGCAGCGGGATCTGCTCGGCCGACTCGTCCACATCCTCGTACAGATCCGCTGGTGTCATACGCAGCTTTCTCATGACCAGATCCTGGAACATCTCCAGCCTTAACTGTCGGACATCATCCTCCGTGACCCCGGCCTTGGGACAGTTAGGACACGAGGCGCTGCCATCCTCGGAGACTTCAGAATCCAAAGAGGACTCTTCTGTGTGGGCGTGAGTTGGGACAAGTTTGAGGGGGATAGAAGCTGTTGTGGTGGTGAGAGCAGCGCCGGGAATGTAGGCCCCTGCGTCTTTGTTGTATTTGGTCGTGCTCATTTCAGAGCGGACGTTGCCTCGTTCTGAATTGTGATGACGTCTACGGGGAGTTGGGCTTGAGCTCTTTTTTCTGTGGCGATATGACTTGCTTTTGTTTCTCTGTCGACGGCCACGTTTTGAAGCATGCTTTTCTTTCCTTTGAATGTCGGATAGCCTTTTATTTACTTTTACCGTCCCGGATAGAGATGATTTTCTTCTAGACGACTCATATTCTCTAGATTTTTTGTTCTCTTCTACCGCTCGAGCAGGTATAGTTCTCCCGACACCAAAAGCCTTCTTGACGTGGTCAGGTGATCGGTTGGGGGACTCGGTCACTTGGTGCACAGTACTGTTCCCACTGGAGGTGTTTAGTGCAGAAGAGTTCTCCATGTCCGAGACAGCGTCAATCGGCGTACTAGCACTGCTATTGCCGGATGGTCTCGAAAACAAGAACGGCCTGTTCATTTGCTTGGTAAACTCTTCTTTCTCAAGGTCTTTGCTCACTCTTAGTTCGCTTTTCAGTGTAACATCTCTGCTCGTGTTGGTCTTCTTTTTTTGCGCATACCTGGCGTAATGGGCTTTTGTTTTCCTGGTCCTGTTCGGTTCTTTAAACAAGGAAGGCGTTGGCGGTGACTGGCCTACCTCTCTAGCCAGTGGGGGATTTGTAGTGCTCGAGAAATTCCCCTCAGCTGGTACGTTACCGCTTAGTAAATCTCGATCGATTGATCTTCTATGCCGAGGATTGGGCGGGGTATTTGTGTCATAGTCTTTATCTCTAGAGATATCATCGTTCAGGGAGTATGGATCGTCTTCGTGCAAGGTATCACGGTCGATCGGTTTTCTTCGGGTACTATCGTCAAAAGAATTCTTTCCGTCTGCCTCCTGTATTCCAGAGTTTTTGGTCTCCGTAACTTGTAACGATACGCCCCCTTGTATCATACTACATGCACAAAGCATGAGTATTTCAAAACTGCACATAGTAATGAAATGCATTTTCAACAACCGGTAATGTTTTTTTTCTCCTCTGTCGTTCAGCGGTGGGTTTTGTGACCAAGAAAAAGATGTTTGTAAGAACGAACTGCTGTATATTGGTTAATTGGTTGATTATCTTTCCAGTTCTCGAAGAGCATTGGAATGCAGCTTGCAGATGTAGTCATCAACACGTGCACTTCCACGAGTGGGTGTTTGGACAGTTGTGCTTCTCTGCGGGCTACCTCACGCGTGCAAGTGCTCAAAACATCGGCAAGCGGTGTTCAAAACACAGTAAGCAATACCTCCAGTTGTTTATTGTCCTTTATAACTCTTCCTTGCTCTTTTGACACGTCCCTTGACGTCATTTCCTGAAAGAGGTCAACTGTGGAAAGTATGAGGGTAAACAAGGGGCTGGATTTTGGGAGGTTGGGGCGGGGGG